ATGGGGGAATCTGGAGCTCCCCTCTCGGTCAGAAATGCGCACAGATGCGGTCGCGGATCGTCAGACCATCTATTCGGCAGCGTCTCGACAAAGCATTGCCGTTGGAGAAAGAATCGCTGTCGACGCTCTGGTTACTCTGCGCGAACCTCAACGCATTGCTGAAGAATGGCCACGACCGCCGTCCGATTCGATTCTGGAGAGGGCGATGCTGCTGACTTCCAGGTGCGTCTTTATTGTTTACTCATCGATGAATTAATTCATTAAATACTATTTTACAGTTCGGCGTCTCCACCTGCGAGTCTTCGACCGGAAGCCCGCAATGCGGCGGACGCTGGGGCGGGGGAGGCTGGAGCAGCAGTCCGTCAAGGTCTGGAGGCTGTCGCCAGGCTGAACAAGGACCACCCTATGCCGCAAAGGGCCTGGGCGAATCCGTCGCAGCGCGACTATTTTCGCACATTCTGGACCCGAGACGACCACGCCCTTTTCCTTGGGCAATTCCTCCGCCTGGATACATACGTCGCCGTGCGCCGCTGGCGCCTGCATACGTATAACTGCACGACGTATGATGAAATGGCCGAGCCGCTAGAGTCGCATAGTACATTTCACTCTCGTTGGCCGACCGGTATTTGAATATATATATTTCTCCTCAATCTGAATTTGGCGGTGGGGTCGGCGGCAAGGGAAATGACGATAGTTTATTGAGAGGGAGAACCCTGCACAGACTACAGGAGATATGTGGATTTGGGGTGGATCGACGACGGTATTGATGGGCCGTAGTCGACCATGTGCATGAATCGCGCTGGATCGCGTTCCCAGGGGTGCTGCCCGATTGGCCAATCCTAAAAGGTATAAGCGAGATTGCCCCTTAAATGCATCTCAGCAAGAAAAACTCACCCAAAATGCCCCCGTTGCCGTGGTATTCCCCGGCTCAACGCGAATGGCTTCAGGCCAGAATGGCGGAATACCAAGCCGCGCGCGCTCAGCACCGTTTGCCCGAATCCTGGCTGACGGTCCGATTGTCTTAGATCGAAGACTGGGGGCCCGGGGATTCCGACACCCGTTGGAGGCGGAGGCTGTGGCACAAGTAAGCTTCAAGGTCATAACAAAATTCACCGGCACTCAGCTTGGTTAAATAGATGGTGAAGCGGATACAGAACTGGTTTCGCAATCACGGAAGGATCGCCGGGAATTTGTAGAATCTGGGATCAAAAGATTGAGTTGTAGCTCGTTGTTTTGCCAAACACGACACCTTCGTTTATCGTTTTACACTGCTGGTTCATCGTATCTGCTATGGCGCCCAAAGGATGGACCGACGACGAGCAGAAGCTGTGGTTAGAGGCGCGATTCCCCAAATATGTTGACGCCAAAACGACGGGCGACCAAACCGATTTTTTTTGTGACCTTGGATGAGAGCTGGTTTAAAAAATGGCCGGAGGAGGCGGCCCTGGGCCTCCCGGCCAGGGAGAGCGGTGTGCCCTTGAGCGAGGAGGAGAACCAGACGGTCAGCACGGCGTTGAAAACGCGCAAAAAGGTGAGCGCACTGGTTTGGGTGAAGGTCGCGTCGCCGCGCGCTAGACCCGTCGGGGCTAGCTGAAGACGTTGTGTGTGCGTGTCGAAGGTGTTGCGTGCGGGGGGACGCGGCCTGCGCGCGTACCTGCATGTTTACCTGCACGCGTACGGGCACAGGTTTCGCGCGATGTGAACGTTGAGCTGACCGCCGACACAGCAACTTCGAAGCTGGTTCCGCAACCACATCAAAACGCAACGCGACTCTGGAGCCGTCCCAGTGAAGAAGAGCGATACCGAGTCGTTCGCAGCCGCGATATGGAAGGACAAGACGCGTCACCGCGGCCCACAGGTGGTGGAGCTGTATCAGAAGTTGTACCCCGTTCGCGTTCGGAATGCTTTGCAGGCGGAGGGGTTCTATAAGCAACACGAAAAAGACGTTGAATGGGTCTCAGAGGATGGCGAGGGACCCGGGGGGGAGTTGAAGCAAACGCTGAAGGAGCAGTCGGCGGCGCGAATGAGGGTGATGAGGAGGGTGACGAGAGCACTGGTGGAGAACGAGGAGCCGGACGTTCTGGAGAAGCTGGAACAAGAAATCGTGCGGCTGAAGGAGCTGAGCTTGACAGAGGGAAGCTCAGAGTTGACGCCAGAGAAAGCACAGAGGTATGAGAACGCGTGTGCACTTGTACCGTTAGCTGATAATTTCATGCAGATCGCTGGACCAGTTAGAGGGCATCGTCAGTAATTTCCACAAGATCTTGAACGAGAAGACGGGATGGGTAGGATTCACGATGGTGGGCGGACCCACACCGAATGCTGGAGGCGCGTTGAGTTTGCAGGTGTGAGTTGACCTCAACCGATGTACGCGTTAGCGCCGCCTGATGGGTGATTGCACAGCTTCTCTTCTGGTCTCACACCCGCGGGCCATACCTTCAGGCAAGCCCATTCAAACTGGAAGACGGCCGTGAGCAGCCCATTCACCGAATTCTTGAAGAAATGTTTCCGTAAGTCCCTTATCTTCTCATTTCACGGCAAGGTACTCACTGCTATGTTAGCTCGTAGCGTGCGCGATGCAATGGCTCTGCCGGATCCGGTCGAAGACCTCGACGACTTAATCCGAATGTCCGACGACGACGCTGAAGAAGAGGCACCCACCTTTGTGTCTAAGACTGCGTCCCCAAGAAAACCGAAGAAGAAATCCAAGAAAGCCAAGCCGCCTGCGCCAGTGTCGATAACCTTCCCTGTGATTTCGACTTCAAAACAAACCCCTGCGCCATCGACTGGGGCGGCAACCTTCATGGCGTCTGAGGCCTTGAGCACAACAGCGTCGCCTGCCTTCACGCAGCCCGAAGCGCGGACGCTATCCTCCAGGTCGCCCTCTCCGCCCCTTCCAGACCTTGGCGACTGTACACTCACGGAAGAAGAAATGTCACTCCTCAACCAGTTCGTCCTCGAGAACCCCGAGGACGTAGCCGCCGCCTTTTGGGAGTCAAACGGACTTGGGGATGTGGATATGCAGGACGTCACCGATGGGCCGACGTTGTCGTTGGCACGGTCGGATGCAGCCACCGTTTCAAGTACGTTTTCCTTTGCCAGGATCGTTCAAAGGGCGCTAACCGCGAGCGATAGCTTCGGATCTAGCGGGGGGGACTGGTGCTCGAGGCTACCTTTCACAATGGGTACAAGGTATGGCACGTCGAGTATCATACAGAGGGAGGATACTGATGCTTCAATATAGGGATATCGACCGGTGCGAGCATGTCCGACACCCCGCCCGTCAAGTCCGGCGCGACGAGCTGGAAAGCCTGGGGACAAGGTATGTGCACGTCGAGTTTGTCATACAGAAGTAGGATACTGATGCTTCAATATAGGGCCGTCGACGAGCGCGAGCACGTCCCACAACCCGCCCGTCAATTCCCGCACGACAAGCTGGAGCCCCACAGCCCCCATGGTCCCCGCAGGAACGATGCCCACACCGGCGACCAGCACGACGAGCTCGACCCACGGACCGCCGTCCCGCGCGACGAGCTGGAGCCCCATACCGCCCATGAAGCCCGCAGCAAAAACGCCCACGACAGCAACCAGCACGACGAGCTCGACCCACGGACCGCCGGTGAATCGCAGCGTGCCGCAGCCCCCAGCGAAAACCACTCCGCCGGCTGTTGTATCCAAGCCCAGTGCACAAACGACGGGCGGCCGAGCAGCGGGGTCCCCTCTCCCGCCCAGGCTCCTTAGAACCGCCTCAGCGGCGGTTACGAGCTCCACCTCGGCAATTGCGACGTCCACTGCGGCGTTGCGCCTGGCGATGGCATCGGGGGCGCCAGATGACAGCAGCGACGACGACGACGACGACACGGAGATGCCGCTCGTAGCCACTGCGAAACCCGCCCACGCCCGCGCGAACCCGGAGGAGGAGGGCGGAGAGGAGGGTGACGAGGGTGACTACCCCCTTTCGCGACCGATGGCGAATCCTCCGAAAGCACGAGGGACTGCGACCACGCGAGGGACTGCGACGGCTGGCCGTGGTCGTGGGGGTGGACGTGGACGTGGACGAGGACGAGGTGGTGGTGGTGGGGGTGGACGTGGACGAGGACGAGGTGGTGGTGGTGGGGGTGGACGTGGACGAGGAGGGGGAGGTGATGCGGGAGAGGAAACGGACGGGCGGGTCGAAAGTGGGATGGAGGGCGGGGATGTAGGGAGCAGCGACGGAGGGCGGGGACGTGGACGTGAAGGAGCGAGAACGACCGATAGGGGTGGTGGGGAGGGAGGGAGCAGCGGTGGGGAGGGAGATAGGGGCGAAGGCGGGAGTCAAGGCCCAAGGCCCCGGCCCAAACCGCTCTTCCAGTTTCGCCAGACGTACGGCGACAACGGGGAGGTCATCCCTCTCCCGCTCGACGCGCCGACTGGCCTCCTGTCGCGGGAGATGATGCAGGGGATCCGGGCGTTCGAGAATGGGCAGGGGCAGGACAAGGCGAAGGCTAAGACGAAGAAGAAGGCACCCCAGCCTGGCGTCTGGTGCCTACCACGCCCTCCCGGTGGGGCCATGCCGCCCATTCCTGAATTGGGTCCGCCTGGAAGATTCAATCAGGAGCGGGAGAATGCCGAGCGTGAGCACGCTGAGGCGGCGTCGGGATTGGGCCGCCCGGGGAGGCAGAAGCGGGCGCCGAAGAACCCCAACGAGGAGGCCGATTTACTTGAGGCGCGGGTGAAGGAGGCTAAGGGGAAAAAGCGAAAGGTGGACGAGAACGAGGGTGCCAGTGGTCAGGCGGCAGGGTATGTTTTTTTTTTTTTTTTTTTCCCTGATATTTTGCTTATGTGTCTGCAGGAAGCGGCCCAGGAGGGCGTAGGTCGTATTAGTTGCAGTGTCTTCGCGCTTTCTTCTTCTATTAATTACATTCTGTGTCTCGGGTAGCGGACTTGACTTTTATTTATTTTTACTTTGCGCGCGGGAATTGAACTCAGTATATAGATCACAAGGAGCACTCGAATATAACGCCTCTGTGGTTGAGTTGGAAGTATCGTCGATGTCTCATATTAGGCATATCCGATCGTCGGCGGTTCGATTCCGCCGAGAGGATTGTTGTCAGCGCACGTATTTTTGCATGTGTCTTTTAATTTTTCAACGTGAATAACTCGACGTGAATTCCTTTCCATTCAGTATACTTGTCGCCGATTATTTCCCTTTATAACTTTCACCTGTGCCTCAAGCGGGAGGGCATAAAAAGCGTGAAAAAAACTGCGGCTGCGCTGACATCAGGCGGACTTTTAATCTTTTGATCGCGGCAACGGCATCGGCTCTTTTTTTTTTCTCAATCTCGACCACCAGCGGCCGCCTTCTCGGGCGCTTTGTCCCTACGGAAGAAGCTGTCGCGTCGATCGCGTCGGCGGCAGCATTGAGAGGTAAGTCGCAGTGATATTGATGAGCGTCAAGCTGACTAGTCGCCCAAGCCGAGACGGGCCTCAGTCAGGACGAGCTCGACGACCAGAGCGACGGAGAGCCTTGGCGCAAAGGCCTTAGCTTGGTGGACTGCATGGCGCTCGGCGTGAATTATCAACCGGACGAGGAATAGTGGGCGGCTGCATTTGGTGCTGCGATGTGTACTTGCTGTGATGGTGAACTGGCCCGATGTACAGTAGTCTTGGCGTTTGAATCATTTGCAGGCTGACTCTCGAGACAATTGAAATTGCGACGGAAACTTTTTTAATTCAAAGCGAAGCAACAAGTGAGTAGTAAGTGAATTAACACGGTGCACGAGCAAAGGAGGGCAGAAAGAAAATACAAAAAAGGCAGGCATAGCGAAAATGGCCGTGGACGACGCGTGCGAATATCAACCGCCTGGAAACTTGAGGTGCGTGTGCGGGCGACATCCCTCGACGACGGGGAGCGGTCGATAAGGAGACGCAGGGCATGGGGCGCGGGGGCGGGCGATCCGGGGTGCGGGGTGCAAACCCGGCCGAAGGTGACGCGCACCGCCAGCGCGGGGCTAGATATTTGAGGGGTGTATGGGGGTGAGGGCCCTCGACGATGGGGAGCCAACGATAGGTAAGTGCAGGGCGCGGGGGCGCGGGTGCAGGCGGTTCGGCGCGCCCGGTACAGAAGCGGCCGGAGCGGACGCGCGGGGTGAGCAACCGCCTAGAAATTTGAGGTGCAGCTGGGGGCGAGGTCGTCCAAGGGCCAGGGGCCATTGATAGGGAAGTGCGGGGCGCGGGGGCGCGGTGCAGGCGGTCCCGGCGCATGGGGTGTAAAAATTGGTGAAACAGCCGCGGAACGCCAGCGATGCGCTAAATATTTGAGGCGCATATGGGGGTGAGGTCGCCCAGGGACCAGAGGCCATCGATAGGGTAGATTGAGCTGCGGGTACGCAGGTGCAAGCGGTCCGGCCCGCGGGGTGCAAATATTGCCAAAAACGGCCGCGCAACGCCAGCGGCACACTAAATATTCGAGGTGCAGATGGGGGCGACGCCCTGGAACAGCCGGGTGCCGGCGATGGGGGCGCGTGGGCCGCGGGAACCCGGGTGTAAGCGGTGCGGAGCGGGGATGCAAAAATGGGCGTGGACGACGCCAATCGCTAGCGGCAGCCTAGATATTTGAGGAGGCTATGGGGGAAGATTATCCTGAGGACCAGGGACTGTCGCAGGAGCGGATTCGGGCGCGGGGGCGAAGGGGCAAGCAGGGGAGCCGGGTGGGTGCGTGAGCTGAATTCGGGGCCAAAGAGGCAGCGGGAGCTCTGCTGACACAGCGATGGGTTATTGAGGGTACCTAGGTCAGTTTTTGAAGACAGAGGGAACGCAAGGGGAACGGGGAAAGGCGCGGAATGGTGGTGGAAGTGAGAGGGAAAGAAATACTAACAACTACAAACAACGATCAGCCCACGCTCATTTCGCCCAATTGGGTAGAACTTGCGGTGCTCGTTCCAAGTCCCACAGCAAAGTCCAGCCTCTAGGAATGTAGGTGAGTGCTTTATAACATGTTGGATAGCTACACTGACAAACTGGGACCCGCGAGGCACCCAGGCAAAAAGTACCGGAAATGGCAAGTACAGCCACCCCGCTCGCGCCCTTCGCGCCCCGACAACGAAACTGCGGGACGACGCCGCCATGCGATCAAGGACCGCCTGACAGTCGCCCACGCGCCCCTGCTACCTGGAAAGGCAAGAGCTCTAAGGTGATGTATCGCAAACGTTCTAATTAGAGCTGTTGATACATCGCGTTTCTCCCTCTCATTAGAGCCTCGCGATGTATTAAAACCCCAGATACCCCTGCGGCCACCCGCCCACCGATGTTTCTTCTCCCAAATTATGTGATTTGGTTGCGTTAAGGCAAGGAACACAAGATAAAGAGTGTCACAACAAATTTGGGCATTTCAATTTGCTTCCTGGCACAGAAAACAGGTGTGGCCATCGTCATCAACGCCCCCGAATCGCCGCCAACGACGTCCTTACACCAACTGAAGAATCACGAGGTGGTGAGAAGATGTGATGTGACGCACAGTGCCGCCGGGTGATTCTACTATAAAAGGAAATTGAAACTGAATATTGAAACTGAATATCGCAACCGAACAGGCTCTGAACACTTCAAAGTCACGGAAGAAAAATGCAATAAAACCTACCGTTTAAAACGGTTTTAAACGGTTTTAAACCATTTATGTACCGTTTCCGTTTAGTTTACGGAAATTTGTAAACGGTAAATAAACGGTTGGAGCCCTAAATCCTACGCCCCGTGAATGAACCAGCAAGTGCACGACAGATCTGCGATCCTTGGAGCAAAGCGAAACGCACGCAAAGGTGTAGGCAGCTCCGTGGCGACCATTGGCCAACGGACAGAATGCACTCTCCGCCGCGGCGCTATTCCCGCATCTCGGTGGATCTCAAAGCATTCTTCGGGTGCGACCAAGTTGCCCCCGCGGCAATCCCTGCTTCGCGATCCTGCCCTCTTCGGCCCCACGCCAACGAACTACTCCCTGTCGTGGACGCAATTACTAGCGCTCTCTCACGACCCTCAGGCGCGGCGGTAGAAAGGGCTCGAGCGCGCCTGGTAACAACGGGCGGAAAAGTATTTGAGGGGGGGAGAACTAGGCCTATAGGGTTGGACGTGAGCGGATTCGAACAAATCTATTTGCAAATAACTTGAGCTAAAGACAAAAAACAAAGGAACCGAAGAGTCGAAGGAGCAGAGGAAGGCGGAGAACGCACCTGACCATCCAGAAGGTGACCACGTGGTGCACCATGTACTCCCAGCAGTCCGAGCGGCGCCTCTCGAGGGCGAGGAGGAGGACCTGCACGGGGTAAGCATCGAACGCACGAGGGGGTGCGCGGGGCGGGTGCAGTCTTTTTTGCCTGCACCCCGGGCGCGCAAGGTACACCGAGAAAAAAAGAGGGGTCAGAGTGGGGATGTATGACCCCTCCCCCCAAAAAAAAAGGGAAGCGTGCGCAGCGCAGGGGCGGGGCAAAGGGAGCGGATGATGGTGCACCCGCTGTTCGGTTGGTCCACCTGCACGACGCACAGGCGCAAAGGGCCAGCCCTAACTCGCCCACGTCTAGATCGCGCAACCCACTCTGCATCTCCGGCGCCTCTCGCAGCCAACCCAGCAAAAAGGAGAATGAAGGGGGAAAGGGGACAAGGGCACGCACCGTCCACTGTTGCACCTGATGGCCGATCTGCACCACAAAGATGTGCAGGGTGAAGATGAGGCGGAGGTAGGAGGCGACGACGATGGTCCACGCGAGCAGCGTGAGGTCGAGGGGGCCTTTGATGTACAGCTGCCCGCCGCGCGATGTCCATTCGTCCGTCGGGGCGGCGCTGAAGGGCGCGCCGGGCGGCGGGCGCGGCGCGGGGTGCGAGAGGGTGAAGAACGGGGTGAAGGAGTTCAATGGCAGGCCGCTCCACGTCCAGCCCTCCAGCCCCAGGCACACCAGGTCGAGCGTCCACGTGCGCTGCGGCGGGGGCAGGTACGCCTGCAGGACGAAGTGGGTCGGCACGGCGAGTAAGACGGGGAGTAGTAACAAGTGGAGGGCGGAGGCGGGCGAGACGGCCCAGCGCAGCCACACCGGAACGTCCTCGGGCCGCATCATCTCGCTCTTTAAATGCACCTTCTTATGTGCTTTCGGGGCGGTGGTGGAAGGCGGAGCGGGCAGAGGGAGCAACGGGGGGCTGGACGAGAGGGGCGTCGGCGGCGAATCGGGCGGGAAGGGCGAGAGGGCGGCGAGGTGGTGTGAGGTCGCTGTGGCGGTTACATTGGAATGATAACAAACGAAGGGTTAGACCCAGTGAGAATTAGGGCTCGCCCGGTATCGCCGGGTATTGCCCGGCATTGCCAAGGCTCGCGGGTGTCAAGCGGGTATCGCCCAGAATCGCGTCGCCTCGCAATTTGCAGACAAACTACAAATGACGTCAGGCTTTTTCAAGCGTCTTCTTGTTTGACCTCGCAAGTCTCCGCGGAGAGGGGGAAAAGTCAGGTTCCTACCCAGCCGCGGTTTCGAGGCTCACAGTCACTATAGCGGAGTTTTTCAGCAAATTAAGAAAATTGATATGTCGGAAACATCGGACCGCGTTACGTGTGATGTTACTGTGACGAAAGTTTGGGGTGAGCCTCTCCACGGCGGCTGGCCGATAACTTATACAAACAGCATAGCCACAATTTTCAGAAATGATGAAGAAAATAATTACATCTGCTCTTCGCACATGTAAATATTTCTTTTCCTAGCTAGATGTGTGCTTTAAGTGTACAAGATGTGTAGATGATAAGTGTTTTAAGTGCTACACACATTTTGGAGGAGTGAATCCGAGAAATACTGATATTTCCCACTATTTAGAGCAGAGTGTTTCACTGGGTGAGCTGATTACTCTAACCTTTCGGCCAGGCTCCTTAGGAGCATGAATAATGCAGATGCTGTGGACTCTATATTTTATTTGAAGCGTTGAAATATCTTGAGTGAATTTCTCGGTGATTTCTGAAAATTGTGGCTATGCTGTTTGTATAAGTTATCGGCCAGCCGCCGTGGAGGGGAAAACCCAAACTTCAGTCACTCTGTAACATCACAGTCACATGTCAAAAATAATCGAATTTTCTCGGATTTAG